AATATGCCCCTTAAGATTTGTGAATGTCAAAATCTATTAGTTGTAGAGGAAAGCGCTCTCACTGATATTCTTTCCCTGAAAACATTGTGTTCCAAATGTGACGATTGGCTTACAAGAAGAAATACTGTAATAGTGGCCACGTGTAAACATGTCCTGCGTTATCATGTGTGCTCAGCGCGTGTTAATGCCGCTGTAACATAAGCCATCACTTAGTTGAAATTGCACCACAGTTAATCTCTGCTGTCCAGATGCAGTTCCAAAACAAGAACCACATTAAAATAATTTTTAAGGAAAAAAACCCATCGAATAGACGTTATTTTGTGGACAGAAAATCCCAAAGTTCCTGGTATATGTGGATTCAAGTTTGGCAGCTGTAATTTTCCCTGATTGTTTTCATCATTGTCACAAGAAAATATATCGAAACGAAACTCACTCATTAAAATAATTACAGTTAATGATGTGTTGACACAATGCGATTGAAATTGCAGTGTTTATGGGGCTTTTTTTCATCCCTATTTCGAAAAATGTTCTTTCAAGCAAGAAAGGCCACATTGGAAGAAGTGAGCGCTGTGAGGATGTATTTTTTCCAGTACAAAGAGCCAGTAATGGACATATTAAAGTCCTACTGCGTTTTGGTGCCTCTTATGAACACATTTTAATTTTGACGTTATCGGTCGAAAAATGAAGCTCTGCTGTATGGAGCAGCGTATCTATTATGCCAAGCGCTGTAGAAAGGAAATGAAATGCTTACCAAAAGCAGAGCATTATGGTGCATTATTGCAACTTTCAGATTAAATCTTTAGGCTGTCTGCTTCTGTTATCTGTTTGCTGTAATCCGGCATGATAAAGACTCAAAATTGGGTTTGCTGAAGACTATAATTTCTTTACTTGTAAGTAACTTTACGTTTGCCTCTATCATCGCTTTTCTTCCATTTGGGTTTGCAGCATCAAAGCCTGTGCCTTTCCAGTTATCTGGAAAATGTTGGTGCTTCATTCAGATTGAGCAGACAGAATTTAGTTGTACGGTGTGTTATTCCGAAGTATCAAGTAATGGATGCGAATAAAAAATGAATTCGTATTCTTTTTGTCCAAAATATGAGAAAACGTGTTTGTTTAAATGTTAAAAAACCTCACGAATACAACTATGATGAAACTACTCTAATGTCCTACATTACAAAAATATCAGGATATATTTTTAGTAAAAATGTTTTTATATTCTTATATATTAGTATTTAAAATATTATTGGCAGGAAATGTATGCCTCTAGTTTATCACGATGGGACTGTTTATATACTATTGTTAGGGTAATTTTAAACACTCGTACGTGTTTGAGATTTTTTCTGTCATCTTTTTGATGCGTGGAATAAGCATGTTTAAGAATACCTATTTACCTACAGAGCTCGCAAGTACATAAAAAATGTGTGTGAGCCAATAGTTCTTCAAATTACATGGGCGCAGAACATTCTGCTTCCCAAATACGGTGGCCATATCAAATTATGCGACGAGCAATATGCCGACCTCCCTGGTGCTCATGCCACGTTTTTAGAGTGGCTCTTCAAAACGTTTCCAGCGATCCCTGTTGCACGCAATAATTTCACACGCTTTGGCTTCCTCTGACAGTTATTGATTGTCATTTTGTCAAAAGCAGGAACAGACTTTGTTGGAAAATTGCCTCCACCGGTGTTTATAACAGACCGCTATTGATGTTTATGATGTTCCAGGCAGGTGGATGTGTTTGCCGGTGACTTCCCTGTGGTGGAACGGGGTACCGACCCAGAGAGTACGTGCTTGCTGCTATGCCTGTTCGCCTTAGTTCTTTTCACAACTTAATGGCAGCGTTTAGTCTCCAGCAGATGTCAGTTGTTTCCAATGAATACCTCTAGACATTGATGGAATTTTCTCCCCGAGAAGCCAAAGATTGTTGACACAACCTTTTGGGAGGGGGGGGGGGCGGCAGGCGGTTGGGGAGTGGCTCTAGGGGAGGAAATTGCCACAATTTTAGTGATGACCTCTTTCTTGGTTCAGGTTTTTCGGCTGCAATTTTCGGCGTGTGTCATTTTATATTAGTCCATCATACTCTCAGACCAGATGGCATTCGTTGGAAAGGTTGTTTGCAATACAATAATTCCACCACCATGAAACATGCTTTTTCTCATCAGTACCAAAATGTCAGCACTCTAAAAAGAATATATGTATCTCATGCCATTCTTTGGATGTGTATTGTGATGTAGTCACAATGAAAATTTAGTTTTATTATTTTTCACATGCTATGATTAATTTGAAATTAAACTAAAGTAGCGTGCTACTTGCTATTTCACATTGTATTATTTTATCAATGCATTGCTTTTGTTAAATGAATGAAATCCAGTTTTGTGCTGAATTATAATGTAATAGTGCACTGTAAGCAAGCAGTATAGTGCATATGCATATACACATACATTATATAGCCTGCATGTTTTTTTATGTAACATTGAGAATTAGAGGTCATTACTGAAAGTAACATAAGCTGCCAATTAGCATGTGTAAGTGCTACATCTTGAGCGAAATAGCTTGAATTACCCATTGGTGACATTTTTTCCTCTTTTTGTAATAATTACTTTTTGTCACTTACCGGCAAAACTGATACATTTTAATTGCGGTCATTATGGAAACGATTCGAGGGAGTATGAACATTTGGTTGCAATTACAGGTATCCCTTTCATATTAAAGCAGAGAGATATAGTCACGGGTGAGGGACAGTAGCAACCCCTGCATGCCAATTAAGGTCCACGCGCTGCCTTGTTGGCTCCTTAAATTATAGTAATTATTTCACATTGCTCATGGTAATGATAAATCCCATCCCGTCTTGCCTGGCATTGCCGTGTCTGCTGAAATTAACCTATGTCTTTGATTGAGTGCATCTGGTGATGTGGGAATGCGATGTTTCCATCCCTAAGTGTTGGCTGAAAATGAGGGGTTTGCATGTGTCATGAAGAGTAGAGCTGAGTCGTAGTGACTATTGCAATAGATGGAAAGCAAAAGGGGCTATTCGTTCATTGCATGCAAATATGGTTCCTGTTTATTCATCCAAAATAAATCTGCGTGAATAGAAAAGACATTCGATTGTTATCATCATTGCTTGTGCTACATCAGTAGTGTGGACTCTCTATTTAAAAATGGCAGTTTTGTAAATATTCTTACTTGGCATTTGTTACAGTGGCTACGTTTCGGTTGTTTGTATAAGCCGCCATCATCTGTAAAATGGCATCGTACATTTTGCCATCAGAAGTGTCTCCAACATGCTTGATGTGCAATTGTTGTTGATGTCATTGAGCTTGGTAGTAAGTTGCTGCACACTTAAAAGCAGCATTTATTACAATCAATATTTAAGTCCACTAAAACTTTTATTGGTTTGAAATTGCAATAATATTCTAGCTTCACATGTTAAAGCAGCCGTATTTTGGTTGATTATAATCTACCATCATATTTAAAATGCCGTCCTACACTGTTGGTTCGTCACATCGCAATGCATTTCGATTTAAAAATCCCCTCCATGCTGTTGCGACATTTTGCGATGAGCAGCACCTTCATTAGGCTTGATGCAAGCACATGCGCACTCACTCCCAATAACACATTTTAAAAAGGGCATTACTATGTGTGGTGCTCTTAATCGGAAGTCATATACTTTCCAAATGAGTGGTGGCTTAAATCCAAACAATTCATCTGGCTGTTTTGACATTCTCTCAGCCGCTATGACACACATCAATGCAGTGTTTAGTTGGCATAGGTGACAGGGATTTTTGAGCAGTTCATGATCCATATCCTTTGAATAGGGAAACATTGTGAGTAGGCAGCAAAAGCTGATTCAGTTGCGGATGAATAGCAGAGGGTAACTGATTTAATATGCATGAGGCTGTTCAAAGGTGAACATCAAAACGTGTTTAATTTTAATATGTAAGCTAATGCCAATGTGTTTATTCTGTTTTGGTGATTGTTGTTTAATGTAAATGTTAATTAGTATTGATAATTATGCGGGGTGGAAGTGGATTGCAGCTGCAGAGGTTTATATTGGCTTGGATAATCCGTTGTTGAAGGCAAATAGGAGTTTGTGATGTTAGAAATTGCAAATGATTTTTTTTTTATTCCATAAAAATAATTCAACCCAAATATTGCAGATATGAAGTTATTTACATACAAGATCAATTGATAGATACAAGATAAATTCACTAATAAATGCTATAATGTGGACTGACAAGTCGGCACAATACTGAAAATAAATAGATAACTTAAAAACAAACATGGAACTAAGTCTATTTTTTTTGCATCATCATGACCTTGTTATCATTGTGACCTATTTATCTGGAACGCACCCAATCTCACCAAACCTCGGAAGCTAAGCATTGGATTGACGACCAACATCCATGACAGGTGCTACTAGGCCAACGGGACTAAGAGATGGGCAGCAGAGGCCAATGCAGAAAAATCCATTGATGGTCTGTACTGCTTTGCTCCAACGTCTGCGCTCCCCGCACTGATCAGCATAGCGAAGTATGGTCAAATAGCCTCACATGACTCACATGGCAGGGAGAGGCCTTCCAACAGTGAAGTGACAAAAGGGTTGTGCACATAGGTGGCGGGATGTTAACGACCTTGCCTGGTATACAGCAGGTTGTGGGTTCGATCTCGACCCTGACTCCTGTATATTTGGAATTTGCATGTTTCTCCCTGTGGTCGCGTGGATTTTTATCTCGGGTCCTACGGTTTTTAACCTCCACATTTAGAATCAACGTGCATTTCGAGCATTTGGCTGCTATAAATGTTCACATCACAAGTAACTTGGTTGAGCTATCATTTGTGGCCAGGTTGCTTCTGACAAGGAGCTATATAGCTCAGTGGGCCTTACCTGGTAGTAAAAAAAAAAAAACATTAAAAGCCGCTGGGTTATGAACGTCACTAAAGCATGCGAGTGCGGCACGCGTGCTTGGTGAGCACAACTCAGGTCAGCTGCCGCGTGTTTCCAGGTTGAGATCGTGAAGGTCGGCACAGCCCCCATCGGCCTCAGTTTCCGCCAGACCCAGTCCACAGACGGGGAGTCAAGCCAGGTCCTCGTGGAGGCGATAGCGGCAAACTCCCCCGCGTCCAGTGCAAACATACGTCGCGGGGAACGGCTGGTGACAATTGGAGGTACGATGTCCCGGAAGATGCGTGCCAGTGTTCTTGTAGCGTTCGCCCGGTGCTGTAACAATGCTTGTGTCGACATCATCACCTCCCGTACCTTGAATTGCTCTTGTTTGTTGTTACGTTCATATTCTCAACGGGAGCTCTTCAGCAGCTACGTTAAATAATGCCATTAGTTTGAAAATTTGTGTCTGCGTTCTGCTCAGAGTTAATGCGAACACAAACGCATTTCAGTGTTTCTTATGATATTTTCCTCCTGCTGTTTCGTTTGATGTGTGGTTCTATTTCACTCTAATATAGCCAGGTTCCTCGCATACAATTGTTGAAAGTAAATGGCGGCAGTATCATTTCACGTGTATGGCTATGAATTCTAGATTTAAAGCTTTCGTGACTGCTAGGATCCATACTCTTCGGTTCTATTGGGTAAAGTCACGTAGGTAAAATAACAAAAATCACGACGTTTCGGCCACAACACAAGCGGCCTTCATCAGATGAAGGGACGAGACTGTCTGATGAAGGCCGCTTGTGTTGTGGCCGAAACGTCTTGATTTTTGTTATTTTGTTTTTTTTTTACCTACGTGACTTTACCCAATAGAACCAAAGAGTATGTATGGCTATGTGAAATTTTGTTTTTATCATGCCGGTAGCCCACAACTGAACTGTGTTTCCTAGCCTCTAAACCTGAATCCAACTCTTTTTTTTTGGCAGGAACGAAAGTGGCAACTTCAAGCCAGGCGTCGAAACTGATCAAGCAAGCAGGGGAGCGAGTAATTATCAGCTTGGAGCGGACGTTTGGAGGCGTGCAGCCGCCTCCTGGCAGCGCCTCGGGCCCTCTGCCCCACGGCATGCATGTGGCAGATGGTTCTGCTATTATCCCAGATGACGATTCTTCCAAAGGTCAGTAGAAGTGGATATACAAATGCGATACCTGTGCCTTAATTTGGCCGGATTGCTACCTGCCGGAAATGTACACCTTAATAAGAAGGGTGATATCCGTGGTCAGTCCAATGCCAGATGAAAGCCACCTTGCGGCGTGTGGTCAGGGGGGTTGTTTGACTGGACTTCACGCTGGTTAGTGCAGCTTGGTGACGGGGGAGCCCAGAACCGCTTCACGATATTACACGCCACTAATATTACCCATGACCAGGAATTTAACTTATTTCACACCGTACGTAACCAACCATGCTAATCGGAGGTGCAGTGGGCTAACGACTGTGGCACTACAACCCTGGTGTACATCTGCTTTCCAGTTGCATTCCAGTTGCATCATTTGTACTATAGATATTTAAAGTGCGGGTAATGTCAGATAATGACATATGCTTAACCAAATTGTGCTTTTATCAGGTGGTGGAAATCAATTGTTAACCTTGCATAGTCGCTCAATGACATGCATGGACCACCTTTTGTCATCGTTTTTCTTTAATGTATGCCTCTGTACTTGGGAATGTGAACAGACACAGTCTCCCTGGGGTCCGTTGAAAGCAACGACGCGAGAGAGGGAGATTCCGACGTGGACGAGGGTGAATGTGGCGACGGTTTCCCCGAGAGCCTGCGCTCGAAAGAGGAACCGCCTCCGTCGCTGCTTTCTGTTCCACCGACCAAGGATGAGACACCGCAGCCGCCCTCCACGGCCAGCCCCAGCAAGCGGCGCACAATGGCCACCCTCGGCAGCATCTCGCCGATCCTTAGCCGCCGGCTGCAGCAATCCTCGCCGCTCCGTTCTCTACACAAGGGCTATGACGCGGCCAAATTAGGGAGCACCACACCTGCACAGCCAGATGGTGAGAAGGTCGCTCCGTCTGCTGCTGCTAAGCCCGGCCTAGTGAATCAGAGCGGTCGGCCGCCCCCGATACCGCCCAGACCGCAGCTTAGGGCCACCAGCAGTGCACCGCTTGGGAGCCTTCAGTCGCTCGCGGAAACAGGCGATGCAAGCACGCTCAAGCCCACGGACAAGGGAGGGTCCATGGAACAAGTGGAACAAGAGAAACTCGGCGACGCGACGGACAGCGGAGCGGTCGGCGCTAGCGGCCTGGCGTGTGCGGAGGAGTGCACGGATGAGCTGTGTGTCACGCAGGAGATGGTATACCACTCCAACAGGGCCGTGTGGCCGGCTCGCGCCGCCTCGCACACCTTCGACGTTGAGAGTCATCACCGCTCCCTGACGGTCGCTGTTTGGCGCAAGGACCCGCTCAAGCCGGACTCCCTGCGCTGCCTGGGCTATGCCAGCGTGCCACTCATGGAGATAGCAGCGGAGTGCCTGGCCACCGCGTCCTATGAGCACGAGGAGGTGTTCCCGCTGAGCGCTCCCGAACCCAGGGCCACCGCCAACCGCACCGCCATGCGCAACGCCAACGCAAAGGAGAAGCAGAATCTGGAGCAACCATATTATGGTGACGTTCGGCTGCGGTTTGCCTACTGGGTCGACGAAGGCGGCGATGGTTTGACATCGTCGAGCGCAAACGTGGACGAAGACCGCGATCTTTTCACAAGAGCCGAGGAGGTTGGCCCCGTGCCCGCCGGGGTGCGCGATTGGGACAGCGGCCCACCCGCAGCACCTCCGCCACCATTGCCACCACTGCCGCCATCGTCGGGGATGGGTGGAGCGGCGCGCCACAGCTTCTGCGACACCCAATTCCAGAACCCCACCTACTGCGACTACTGCAAGAAGAAGGTGTGGACCAAGGCGGCGACGCAGTGCTCGCGCTGTGCCTACGTGTGCCACAAGAAGTGCCAGGAGCGCTGCTTGGAGGAGAGCGAGAGCGGGCGCTGCATGCCGAGGGAGAGCAGGGAGGGAGCCCGCGAGGGCGGCGCCGCTGGGAGCGGCGCCGCCGCTGCCGGCAGTGGTGGCGGCGACCCACCGGCTCGCCTCTCAAACCTCAAGCAGTCGGTAGCGATGGCACGGTCCCGTCTGACGCTGGCCGTGCCCAGGCCGCTGCGGCAGGCCGGGAGCCGGCTCCGAGCCAGTGAGGAGGTTGTCGTCGGGCCAACGCAGTCGGGGGGAACGTCGGACAACGAGAGCAGCGACAACGAGGGAGGGAGCAGCGGGAGTGCGGTGGGTCCCACTGGGCAGCCATCCGCTGTGAGTAGGAATATGTACGCAAGAATGAATACAAAATAAAGGACAGTACTCTATCGCTTTGAGTTAATGAGTGAAATGCTAAGAAATTTCACCACTTTATCATGATTACTAACAGTTTATCTTAGTCCTATACAGATTTTTGTCCGTCCACTGGATGAGGGCCTCGCTATGCCATGTGGCTCATGGGAGTTATTTAATCATGCTTAAACTATGCTGGTCAGTGCAGGTTGAAGGTGGGGAGCATCGATGTTGGAGCATAGTACAGTACAACTGTACTGAAATTTGTGATGTTTGCTATGATGATGATGATGATAATGGCGATGACGACGGCGACGATGACGATGACGATGGTGGAAGTCTGCGCGTGCGATGGAGCAGGCGTCCCTGCCGGGCCGGCTCGAGGACAGCGTGTACCTGGCCGTCAAGGAGATCGGCCGTGAAATCTTCCGCGGCATGCCGGCCGAGGAGCGGAGGTCCAAACTGGAGCAGATGCTGGACAAGCTGCAGCAGGAGGTGGAGGCCGAGCTGGAGCAGAGAAACACGCTCGAGAGGGAGGAGCGCCAGGCGTGCGCCGCCGGCTCGGATGCGAAGAAGGTGGCGAACGTGACGCACTCGTTGCGCAAGTCCACGGAGAGGCTGCAGGTCAGGCCATCGATTTTTTTTTCCGCGTTGCAGTTTAAAGCCCCGGCTTGCCGGATTTCGCATTTGGCCGCACCAGGTTGTCTCGTAAAACCAAACACAGTATGCAAATGAAATGCAAGCACATGGTCAATGGAATGTTGTGCACGCGGCACACTTTGGGATATGTTACGTAACGCATAATGTATGATCAAAATGCGCAAGAGCACGTGGGATTGTGTATAATGTACGAAATGCGTGAACGGCAATAAGTGTATTTACGGCAATATGTTATTGGTGGGATATGGAGGACGGGTATGGATAGAGGAGTGGCAGTGGGGGAGTGGGGACGGGGGTACCGGCGTACATTGAAACCAAAGGACATGAACACCATACAGCACATCATTACACAGCGCACAACATACCATAAAGTCATTGTATTTGTTGGTTGGTAAAATACCACACGCTACACACTAATGCGTTTACAGTAATTCGTATACATATATGGGACAAAGGGTTGTTTATTACATTGATTTGAATAATCTTTGCAGCTAGCTGGTCTTTTCAGCTGTCTGGACCAGGGCCCCTCCTACCCTACTAGTCAGGCTAGCTGAGGTTTTACTGTAAATCACTTCTGTTACACCTGCCTTATGTTCTTAGCACAGGGTCCATTTTATCGCACGCATTTCATAGCAACACGTACCCGCGCTGGTTTCAAATGTGAGTTATCTTTTTTTTTTAATAGTGCAAGGGACGAAATCGTTTTCATTCCTCGCTCTAAGGCCCACGGCAACTATGCTACGCCACTGTCATGCAACGCACACGCTCACGAGGTATTGCATCGTCCGTGTACAGGCACTGACGCTGCTGTCCATCCACTACCGCGCTGGGATGGAGGAAGAGGATCAGTCGGAAGTTGGCTGCGTACCGACGGGTGGCCCTTCGTCTGCACACCGGCTCCCACAACCTCCCCAGGCGGTGTCCTCCGTGTTGACCCAGCTCCCACCGGACGTGCCCTTGCACCCGGCGGAATCGGAGCAGTTCCATACGCTGCAGGATCCTTCGTTATTCCCGTCAGCGCCGCGGGACGACCTAGCGGTAATTCAGGGAGCAGTGGCAGAGGTGTCTGGGGCGACGTGGGAGGAAGGGGATGCGGAGGAGGCATGTGCAGCCGCGCCGGAGGTTTGCGAAGACCCGAGTGAAACTGGGTTTGCGTTGGACGTGGAGGAAGATGATGAGGAAGTTGGAGCAAAGCTGCTGGCTTAATACGATGCAGAGTGCAATTGATGAAAATATACTAGCAACATTGTGGAGAGACACATTAGCATACTTTATATTTATAATAAGACTTGACAGATAGAGCCCGCTCTAAACATAAAAGTTTGTCTCCTTTGTAAATCCACTGCAGGATGAAAGCGTTCCCACGATGTGTTGGTCATGGGGTTTGTTTGACCATACCTCAACATGCTGGTCAGTGCGGGTTACCAAGGTCGGTTCAGACATCACTGGCCGCCACTGATGTTAGCCGAGGCTGGGAATCGAACTTAGAGCTCTCTGGTTTCATAGCGCGATGCGCTTGACCACTGCATCATCACTCCACCCCTCTGTCTTTGTGGCATTTAATAAATTCTGACAAATATTTTATACAATTCTTCACGTTGTATGGGCCTGCCCTGTTTAATAAAGGAACATTTTGGGGAAAATGTCCATAAATACCATGCCCATTCATTGAATCTGTGATGTCTTGAGAGCATTGTGTTCCTGATGGGTATTGTGCATCAGTCTGTTACTTCAATGAAGGTCAGCAATGGACTTTTAGGTTTAAATATATGTATTAAAATCTGCCAGAATATGCATGCTACCTGTTGGAGATCATTTAAAATTGTTCTTTAATGTGCAGCTTACGGAAAAATAATTTTCCTGGTAATGTTTTGTTGCACTGTTATGGTCGGTTTCTCAGTATCACAGCGTTATTGTTCAATTTACAATTGTGACGACTCTGCTTTTCTGCTGATGTTGCACTTGTGTTCTGTGCGTAAATATATTTTGTTGTTTGCTAGCTCAAACCTTTTCGGGAATTGGGCTTGTAGCGGTGGAGCCTCTCCGAGACATTGCAATGTTAGAATCACTCCGTCCGCCGCAGAATGCCAAGCGAATGTTGACATCAACGTCACATCCACAGTGGTCATGCTCTTTGCAAAACAAGTGTGTTGCACATTTTGACTTTCTTTAATGCAACTTGTGTTTGATTACGGCATTATGATTAAAAGAGATATATTTAAAGCACTTTCTCTAAGATCTCTATATTCACAGTCGCTTAAAACCGATGCTTTTTCAATGTATTTTTATTTCAAGGTCAACATGAAAGAACAGTTGTCTTGCTATCTGTATTCTTTTCATAGAGCTATGTCAATAGCTAACAAGAATATAATACAATGATGCCATCTCTTAATTGGAACTAGATGGCTGAGCTGATGGTTTTATATTAACAGTATACATTTTTGTTTAATTGGCAAGTAAATATTTATCCTTTTCAATGGCATTTGTGCAAATATTTCCAACAAGGTTCATACAATCCAAGCAAAGTTGGTGTCAATAGGCACAATATACAGTTAATATTACATTTGCGGTGGCTCCAACACATCATGTTGGATTTTAAACGTGAAAACGGTACGTTAATAAAAACAAATAGCACAGTCTAAAGTATATTAATGTCATTTAGTCCCATCAAGGTGGCATGTAAATAAATGAAGCGTACATTTGTGTATTTACTTTAATAAAATGTTATGGGTATATATGCATGGTAACAAACATCAACATGCCAGTGGATAGACATCCTAAAATTGCTTTCTTTCCAATACTGCCACAAGAATTATATATTTATTGTACTTTGACCAAATTAAACATGTATTCACCTGCAAATGTAGCTTTTAAGTACACATTGAATGTATGCAGCATAAATCCATAAGCTTGAGCAGGCATCTGAGTATTTTTTTGTTAATTTGACTGCATTTTTGGCATTATTGTCACAGACGACATCCACTGATGGAGACGGAGAGAAACCGGCTCGTGTGCTGGTGCACTGGAATATTTAATCGCAGGATAACGAGAGACGGCAATGGGTTTGCAAGGTCCTCATCTAGCAGTGGATTGACCATGGCTACTAAGGATTATGAGCACTTGCTTAATGTGAAATGTACCATCGCAATTATTTGTTCATTGTTTGCACGTGTTGAACCAATGTCATGCGCACTTAATAGTGTAATACATTTTTTTTCGTGAATACATAATGGCGTATCATATATATGCTCTATCAGAAAAAAAAAATTTGCTTGCTGGCTGGATTCCTGCTTAGATTCCTGGATGGATGGATGGCTGGCGAAAGTGAGTGTGCCAAATAGGGACATCACCGTGCACATCTGCGCAACGATGAGCCGGGTTTGTGCGTGCTGGTGTCACGCCTGTCCTCCATCCTGGCCGTGGGTCCTGCGCAAATGCACGGGATATATGCTCTCATCCTCTATTAAACATAAGTTTTGCCAGCTGGCTGGAGGAGGGACGGGCAGTCACATAAAAATAAACAACCCGCCTACACATTGCAATACCATGCATATCGCACGATTTTCACAATGTTGCATAAATGTTTTCCGAGTTGCAAGGTGTCAAGATTTGAAATGGAAGTTCCGTTTGTTTTTTCCGTTTGTTTTGAAATTGCGGCTTTTGCACTGGGTGTGTGGTTGTGTACTAATATTTGCACCATGTATGTGGCAGAATCATCACTCTTCACTCTCTTCTTCCATGGTCTCGTCGGCAGTAATGGACTGCATCTGGTTAGGCATACTCTGGGTGAAGTACGTCTTGGTGTTTACAGGGCAGCCTTGGCTCATCAGGATGGCCTACGACAAGATCACATCACACCATTAGTTCATAGTTGACTCGTTTAAAAAGGCTTGCACAACCAAGTGTATAAATAAGAGCTTACCATGTTAGCTTTGGCTACATATGTTGCGGAAGAAGTTTGACATAGGAACCAGTTCTCAATTTGGTATCAGATAAATGTCACGTTTGTTTTACCATAGGGCAATGCAGATCAGTATTGAGATCACATTGTTCATATGTTGCATATATTGTCACTAATATTCCCTAATTTTAGAGCATATTTTGACAATGTTATGGCTCTGAAATATGTATTTTAATCGGCAACTCGACAGGTTTTAATTTGCTTTCCATCATTTTGCTGATGCTATTGTCTCCAAGAACATGTCGCCAAAAGCAATATAACGTTGAGTTCCTCCCGGAGCGTTTGGCATCCTAACCCCTTCCTGTTTCTGTAAACTTGTTCATCCACTGTTAACACTCGTCCCTGATATAAGTTGAGCTGAACATAAACCATAGCTAAACTTGATAATAATTGAGCTATTATTAAACCACAATTGTGGACAGTGAAGCAAAATCACGTAAGTGTCCTATGCACCCAACTTGTTTGATCCTCCTTTACCAACCCACACTGATTGGTGTGGTTAAGTATAGTTAACCCATTCCAATGACGTACGTGTATGTATGTGTACGTGATCAGTTCATCTTCTGGTTCCGTTCCAATGACGTACACGTGAAGTAAAATAACTTTATCGGTAACGAGACTCCCACAAGGCCATGCGAGAGGGCGAGTGGCACAGTTTAGCGCCAGCTATAGAGTGCGGTCATGTAGCTACAGTTCTCTGCGGTGAGTACAATGTGTTTGAAAATAATGACGCTCTGCGTCTTGAAGTAAAATGTAAGCTAACCGCTTGCGCGTTCCGATGATTAGCGGTGAACGGGACCCACCCTGCAACTTGCAGATGTCTCGGAAAGGGCTAAGTTTCTTTAAGTAACCCCCACCAACCGCACGGTGTGGAGTGGTGCACATGCAGCACTGGATTAACAACAGTGCAATAGCAAAACACAGCTCTCTGCTGCAGTGTCTTCATCTTGGAATGAACTAAGTACAGTGCTGCCGTCTTAGCAAACAAATTCCCTCAAAAAATTTGTTTTGAGAATGTATGATTTTTGTTGCTGATATAACAAGTATTTAAGTGTTCCCAAAATGTAGATCAAAAACTGGGGTTTTTTCTCTCTTCTTCTTCATCCTGTATGATGTTAATATCAGTGAGGTAGTGGAAATAGCCTCACCATTTTCTCCTCCTTGCCCGGTGGATTGCGGAGGAAGAAGCAGAGCGGAGCAAAGAGGATGTTGATGATGCCGATAATGAGCATTAGCCAGGGGAAGCCCAACTCTTTGGCTATGGCTCCTCCAGCCGAGGGACCTGCAGCAAGACCACATGACTCGTTTACGAGACCTCATCGCCCCAATCGTCCGATCGCCTCACCAGCTCCCCAATCTCGAATCAACTTCAAGATCACACCGTTTGTTAAGATCCTCCATGGACTCGGCCGTGCCTACCGCGCCCCCCTCTCATCTCCCTCGACTCTCCTCCATGGATTCTCCCGTCTCTCCCCTCTCATCTCCCTCGACTCTCCTCCATGGACTCTCCCATATCTCCCCTCTCATCTCCCTCGACTCTCCTCCATGGACTCTCCCGTCTCTCCCCTCTCATCTCCCTCGACTCTCCTCCATGGACTCTGTCTCTCCCCTCTCATCTCCCTCTACTCTCCCTCTACTCTCCATGGACTCTCCTGTCTCTCCCCTCTCTTCTCCCTCGACTCTCCTCCATGGACTCTCCCGTCTCTCCCCTCTCATCTCCCTCGACTCTCCTCCATGGACTCTCCCGTCTCTCCCCTCTCATCTCCCTCGACTCTCCATGGACTCTCCTGTCTCTCCCCTCTCATCTCCCTCGACTCTCCATGGACTCTCCCGTCTCTCTCCTCTCATCTCCCTCGACTCTCCATGGACTCTCCCGTCTCTCCCCTCTCATCTCCCTCGACTCTCCTACATGGACCCTCCCGTCTCTCTCCTCTCATCTCCCTCTACTCTCCATGGACTCTCCCGTCTCTCCCCTCTCATCTCCCTCGACTCTCCATGGACTCTCCCGTCTCTCCCCTCTCATCTGCCTCTACTCTCCTCCATGGACTCTCCTGACTCTCTCCGAGCACTCCAATCCTCTTCACACTCTGCTCAAGCAACAAAGATATATCAGAGCCCCCCAGTGAACCTTCGGTCGGTTGGAGATCTCTCATTCTCCACACTCCTGATAGTGTGGAACTCCCCCTAGCCATCCGTGGTGTTGACTCCATGAGACAGTTCAATTCCAGGATCAAGACCTTCCTTTTTGTCACTTTGAAATGACTGACTCTGTACAAACAAATGTGCCGACTCTTTCTGTACAGCGGCTCGAGATGCGGTCGCATTTCGACGCTTCACAAATCCAACGAAACTAAACCTTTTATTTTGCCAGGTCAGGCTCACTGAACCACATGGCTCTTTTTTTCAGGCGTGACCTCGACGAAGTGGCTTATCACGCGTAAACTTATCACAGCCCAACGCTCTTAAACGCATGCAAAGGAGCAGACGGTGAGGACGGGCGCCGGAACGTCGAGCTACGAATGGCCTGTGACGGCGTGGCTTGTGCTGCCTCGGGACCCGCCTAGCGCGAAGCCGAGGCAGAAGGCGACGTCTGCGATGGCGTAGACGCTGCCGTAGACGGAGACGTGGCGCAGGTCGACCAGGTAGCCCATGATGGGCATCATGGAACAATCCACCATGCCTGCATACGCCCGCAAAAACACGCACCGACCGCGATGTTGTGGTGGCATGGCCGAGCGATCGCGTATCTTTAGCACACATGAATGTATGTATGTTGAACTCCTGTCGCGCCGTACATAGCCAATCGTGCTAATCGTAGGTGCGGGGGGAAGGACAGCAAACTAAACAAAAACCCGTGCACTTGTTGCAGAGGTTTACACTCAGAACTGTGCGGTACCCACCCTGCTCAATGATGTGCAGGTGTGTTAACCATTAATACGCGTCGTCTGCTTTGGCAGTGGAAGTGAAAGATCCGGCAGCGTCACTCATAAAAGAGTAGGCCGTGTTTTCCGGCGTCATTTCATGATATTTTTTCAAAAATACCTGCAAATTACTCAGTTGGGAAAACGTGGCCCCCGACCGCAAGACTCCTGCAGACTATGATTGTGAAACGGTGCATTTGTGATAGCCTTGTCCTATAAGAATGGTGCAAATACCAAAGTCATCAATGGGGATTTGTATTGAAAAGTTGCGTTGTCAAGCAAGGGAAAAATACATGTGCTTTGTGCGCAAAAATTTGAACGCACGCATTTGCACGAAACGTACACACTCCAAAAATCTAAATATTTGAATTAAAATGCTTTAAGCAGGTCCCGTGGAAAACGTGCTATGTGTCCATATTGAAGTGTGGTTGCTGAAACACGGGAGTCAAGGAGGGAGTGATTGCAGTAGAATTCAAACCGCTGTGGTGACTGCGCGCCTGTAATCCAGTACTGTGGGGGTTAGGGTTGGTGGATCGCACAAACGTGAACCTCGTGGGCGTTGAGGTGCCATACCCTGACAGGCAGTACAGCCAGTGGACTAATTGCAATCTGCTTCTATCTGTACAGGGATACATTGTTGCCCCCTCGCATGCATGGGTTTTCTCCGAGTGCTCCAGTTTCCTCCCACTTGTATAAACACTCATCATTAATTGGTTTATAATATCTTTCAAATGTTTTTTTCACAGATGCCCAACTGGACAATCTGTGAAAAAGAGCTTCAAAGCTCATCTGATTCTTCGAGTTCTAAATAAACATTCTGATTAAAATAGAAACCCAATGCAGGACCCTCCTGCAAAAGAGTCCTATGACTCGGTGGCATTCCTGGATTTAAAAAAAATGGTTAATATACATTGTCATGAAATGCGATTTAGTATAATCATGCTGGAGTAAAAGAGATAAGGTAAGAAACACGTAAATAAAGGTTCGATCACGTGAGGCGGCTGGAGGAAAACCGATTTGGCAATATGGTTCTTTGCGTGGCAGATGGCCAGAATAAGAAGACATGTGCTAGACCAAGGGAGAGATGCAAAGATGGTGTCCTTGAGAGAGGAAAGAACACGGGAATGGAGAGTGATGATGGCAAAATATGGTAAGATCAGAAAACATGAAGAAAAGATGTCTGCCAATCTGTGCCAGGAAGACTGATGAAGACTGATAAGATACTCGTATTTTGTACAAGGAAACTTACCCAGCGCAAAACCAATTGCAAAATTCGGAGCAATCAAGGCATAAATGTTATTAGCCAGTGGTACCTGCAAAACAGTTTTGAAAACAAAGGTCATGTTAAGCGTCTCTAACCCACAATCTAATGGGTGCTGTGAATACCCGTCCTGAGAAGTCACAATTAACAGACAAATATCATTAACCTTATGGTGGTACCCCCTCCCCCGGCTCTCGCATAATGTCCGTGATGCAGTCATTTTAGTCTGTTGATGGTCGGCGATGCGGCAGTCCACTCATCTCGACGAGCTGTACACATACTCTTTGTTTTTTTCGGTAAAGTCACGTAGGTAAAATGGAATAAATGAAAACAACTCAATTAAATCACTTGATACAGATAATTTTGCTGTGTCTGTTCCACCTGAAGACGGAAGCTTGTGTTGCCTCCGAAACGTCGTGATTTAATTTAGTTGTTTTCATTTATTTTATTTTACCTACTTGACTTCACCGAAAAAAACCAAAGAGTATGAATCCTTGCAGTCACGAAAGCTTCAAATCTAGAGCCGTACACAATGCGCTACGCTGCGTACGAGCGTTCAGGGTTTCGGCGCAATCGTCCTCGCTCCGTTTCGACATCGCGGAGTGTGGCACCGATTTCGGATTGATTGGTACCCCAGTCGCGGAGTGAAGTAACACCCCTTGGAGAAAAAAAAAGTGTCCCAGAAATAAAATATTTAATTGCCTCGGCCATTTTGTATTATTTGGTACCCTGGCGTACCGCCATACGGATCATATATATACTATAAAAAGTAATTAAAATAAAACATTTAAATATTATCAATGGTCGTCATACCATCCAGGACACGACTGAATTCAACATCAACGCACGACGACGTTTCTCCTAAACTGCTCCGAGCGTCATGAAGTAATGAACTGGAGAAACTGTGATACGGTTGTCTCTGCAGCTTTGCTCTTGCTGATACAAAACAGCAAGCGGCTTCCCTCGTGCTTTAGTGGTATGAAATATCGGGATTTTTTTTTTACTTCTTCTGAAAACCCGTGATTGTGTCAAAGTTCAATGAGAAGGATGCAACATTCAGTTGCAGCTGGTGGTGCGATGATTACTCACACAGCTCATGCTCACGCCAACCAACACCATCCCCAGGAGGGAGCACAGCCACCTGTGAACAGTTTACGGTAGTAAGAAGAAAAAAAACACACTTACATTTAAAAAAAAAGTAATGTTTCGCTTAATTTTAAATTGACTTCGTTAAAAAGCTGTTTCGCTATCGTCTGATTGTATGTTGTTAAGTACGTTTGAGCCTTGATGGGTCATGGGTCTATCCCCCGCAGTCAGTGACTGCGGATTGAACCGTCATTGGCGAAAAAGACAATGTGAGCGGTAATTTCAGTCGCCAAGATTTTCACGTGTGTGTGTGTGTGCGACCTGCTGGATTACAAGATTAGGTTTCGAAGCCGGCTATAAATGTCTTCAGCGTCTACCAAATTTGTAAGTCGTTACGGAGAAATGTCACGGAAAATTTAAAATTCATGTTATTACAGAACTTCATCCTACTCGAACTGTCTGCAAACCCTTCATCAGTCGAGGCTTCTCGGGCAAATAGACACTGGAGCGCATGGACACCACTCCCCAAACACCGGTGGCTATTTCTCCATCAGCGGTTGTGCCACCACTCAATCTAGACGACAGAATAAGCTCATGCAAGTTCGACTCGCGTCCTTCGTATGTTTTAGACCGTGGTGCACATCAGAGGGTAGTGCAGAAAAAATGTACTGTGCATCTGCGCTCCCAATTGTATGCTCCTCACCTTCACCGACGCGCACTGACCAGCACTGTGATGTGTGGTTAAATAACCCACAATACCCGCGTGGTGACGAGGTGAGGCCCTCGTCCAGCAGTGGATTGACCAAAGCGCTGCAGATATACGTAGGCAGTAAGATATCCACCAATAGACGGCAGTGTGCTGCGCCGTGATCATTAGAGGTTGCGTGCGTAAGTGGGAGGAAAACGTCACCTTCCCATGCGATGAGCGAGTGGCCCAAAGATGTTTGTTGCGATCAGATATGAAATGCTGGCTGGGAGGAACGCCATGCCTGGGAGGAAAGAAGATACATGTCCTACAATTTCCACATCATTCTGTCGTATGGTGAGGCGTTGATCAGCAATGTTTATTTGCTGATTTCCAGGTTGCTTGGCGAGTTGGTGGACGGCTTCAGGAATAGCCTGGTGAATCTCTGAAATGCCAAATAGCCCCACTGCTTGAATCATCGCCATTGCCACGTTCCCAAAACATAACGGTGAAACTTTACCACCACCTTTTTATTTTGTTCAGGCCAAACTCTGGCCTGTGGTTTGCGAAAAAATGCCAACTCTCGCATAGAGTTTTGGGGAAACCGCTGCGCTAAACAAACTGACAACCGTCGACCCAGCAAACTGTGACGCACATGCACGTGCCCACGCACGCACACATTGCGAATAAATCTCGGAGGGTTGTTTCGTGATCGGCTCGGTGGACTCGTTGAGAACGGGACCGTGCGCACACTCACCGATCTGCCACTTGGAGGGACACATGGTTTCCATCATCCAGATGGGCAGCAGCGGCTCCATCATGCCTATTCCCATGTTCCCAAAACAGATGGCGCCTGCAGCGAACAAATTCAATAAGCGCAACGGTGATTATAAATAAATAATCAGCGCCGTTTGCACAGCCGACAAGGGCAGTGCGCTATGCATGAATCTTCCTGCCTAATATACGCCCTTTAAGCAAACACCGGTTAGCATAATTTACTTCAAAGAACAGATACCAGTGCACATTATAGACGAGCTTAGCTCTGGTGTATAGGACATTGCAGTTGGCTTATGAGTGGACACAAAAGTATGATTCGGCCCTGGACTGTAAAGACGCGGTTAAGTGAGCACTTGACAGGGGTCTGTTGTATAAACGTTGGGTTGGGTTGCTGGCACGCCTACATCCCTCTTTATCCGATCTACGCACCACAGCTTCCTTAATACTTTTTTCTCTTTTGAAGAAGGACCTAAAACAGGGTTTGAAAACCAAAATAACAAGAAGAGAATTTTTTTTTTATTCTGCAAAAACAAACTCAATATTTCAGAGCCACAGTGCAGTGAGAATACAAGGCGGTGGTCTTTAATAAATAACTGTTACGAAGCAGTCCCTAAAGAGCTGCACCCGGCTTCAGAGCCACAGGTTTCTAACCCCTGGTCTAAAACATAGTTACGTCACGCAATCGTTATCAAAGCACATGTGTGCACGTACGGTTCCTTCGTTAGTCTCTCCTTGCCGTGTTGGTCATATGGGAGCGGTTTTACCATATTTAAAACAAAACTACCACTATTTTTTTTTTATTTTACCAGGTAAGGCCCACTGAGCTATACTGCTCTTTTTTCAGAAGCGACCTGGCCACAAATGATAGCTCAACGAAGTGTTTTATCACGTGTAAATGTACAGCAGCCAAATACTGGAAACGCGTGTTTATACATTTGGAGGGAAAACAGGACACGGAGAAAAATCCACGCGACCACGGGGGAGAAAATGCAAACTCCAAATTATACAGGAATCAGGGTCAGGATCAAACCCACGACCTCCTGTATACCAGGCAAGGTAGTTTCCATCTCGCCACCGTAGCGCCACACTGGTCAGTGTAGGCTTGTGAGGGCCCAGGTGTGGCCGAGGTCCCGGTTCAGATATCACTCGCCACTGGTGTAAGCCATGGCCACTTATAATTAATGGCGAAACGTCTTACTCAGATTGGAAATGTTGTGGCTTTGCTCTCCAACACATCGGTTTGCTGTACTAGTAACGAATTGGCTTGTTCTGTTTACGTGACAACCTTTATTAGTTGGCGGGTGGTGGCGGGTTTAACGACACATTTATATATCTAACCCAAAAAAACTGTATTATGGATACTAATAACATATTTAAAGAAATGTGTCCATCATGACAAAAGTCGCACAAAAATGAGGCCCTGTATGCCTATTGCAATTGAAACAAGGTATTATTCTGCTGCCAATTCTGCCAGGTTAGGGTTTAGCCCCTGGACTGTACAGATGCTGTCAGTGAGCACTTAATAGGGGTCTCTGTTGTGTATACGTAGGGTTGGGTTACTGGCACGCCCACGCTCCACAGCTTCCTTAACCCGTCTGCTTCTTGTGTGCACAGGAGTGATGGCGAGGCCGCAGTATGCCAGCGTTGTCTTGAAAAAATACTCATAATATGCATGCGGTATCTTCACCGTGCAGCTTTTTGTTCAAAAAAGTATTTGGTGTTGCTGCTGCTGCGGCAGTGGTGCACATGCACAACATTTATAGAACTAAACACATTAATAAAAAACCCTGTGGTCTTTAAAGGAAGATATTTATATTCGGTGATGTTTTGGGCAATGGTCCTTCTTCACAGGACATATATAGAGAGGCCAGAGAGCTAGAGTGGATAACACGGGTTGGAGACTGCACTTAACACACTGGTGCCTGATGAAAATTACATTACAAACAATGTTTTCTGATTATTAGTTTCACGTTGATATGTTAACAATTCAGGGGCAGAGCCAGGATTTTCAGCCCGGGGTGACATTCAACAAATTTAAATTTCAAGAATGATTGAATGAGAAATCGGCTATACCCCACACCATCGGTTGGCGACACACTCTGACAATGCAGTTGCACGGAGTCCGCCAGACCGAGTGTCGTACACTTAGACGCAGAATGTTTCAGATTTTCGATTTTTATTTTTTTCGGAGGTGACAATTGTCTAACCCTGTCACCCCCCTGGCTCCGCCCCTGAGTTAATTCACCGTAGCGATAACATAACAGGTGTTTGTTCAGGCACGCTACAAACAGCATCATCTTACATAACGGTACATACTTTTTGCAAAATATAAATAAAAAAATACGCAATGAGATGGCCCCTGCTCTGTCGCAAAATGGGCGTGATTTCTTTCATGCAAATAAAGCAGATCTATACATATTGAAACACAATTAAAAATCCTCGAGAAATATTCAATGCAATATATGACGTGCACTTCAAGGGCACAATCGTAAGCGAAACAAATTGCCAGCGTTGTACGAAGGCCTCCCCCACGACACTCGATGACGGAGTGGCAGCCGAAGGGGGGCAGAGTGCCCCGCGGACACGTCTCCGCCGAAGAGATGGAGCAACGAAATTGGCTCGTGCGGGGGGAGGGGGGGGGGCTCAAATGGAGTGTTCCGTCGCGTTGACCGTGAGACGTGGTGACGGCTTACCGGAGGCCTTCGTCCAACAGTGCATTGATCAGCGGCTGGCTGATAATGAGGATGATGAACCACTACGTGATATTCTTCAGAGCGATGTTCCTACCTGCGGCGATCAGGATGTAAGGGTCTTGCAGCAGAGTGAGAAGAGAGGATCCCTTCTGGCTCTGCGGGGGGGGAGATTTAAACGGTCATCGACGCAGAGAGAAAGCGAACGCGTCTCTCGCTGCCCTACCGTCCGCGTCTCCCGAGGAGGGAACCTCCCAGAGAGGACATTCCCCAGCGGAGGGCAGCGACAAAATCAGCTCGTGTGCGGAATAAGCGAAATCATATTGTTGCATCACGAGAGCACGAAAGATGGCGGGAAATGGCCGTCGTCCAGCAGTAGATTGTTCGTGGCTGTAGAATTGCGCAGACAGCATCGGTAATTTAGGTGGATGAACGCAGATAATAGGATGCGGAATATAGCACCCCTCCCCCCCTCCACATCATCACGGATACGAGGAGTTTCACTGTGCTGTACTTTTACCCTGGCGAACAGTTGAGCAATACGTCGCAAGACGTTTTGTTTTCCATCTGTCCCCCAACGGAGCCGTGTCACTGTTTTCGACTGTTTTCTACATCAATCAGAAGTCTACGTTTATTAATAAATAACACGATATCACTGCTTACGATCAAAACAATGTTTTCGTTGAATATAACGTCGTCGTTCATGCCATTTGCATCTCACAATCGCCGATGAACCACAGGCACGTTGGAACGGCAGCCGAGTGGTGTCAGCTGGCGCAAATAATTGCCCAAGCTCTGCAGTCCTATATATATAAGATGTACTCGGCCAATGAATGAGTGTTTGTACACGTGGGAGGAAACTGAAGCACCTGGAGAAGATGCATGCGTGAATTTGAATGTTGAATGAATCCCCTTAAACCAATTCACCAGAACATATTCAATATATTTAGATATCGGGTTGGGCCTAGTTGTCCTGTACTTTGAAGGGTGACTGCCTGAGAATACATGGGGTTGTCAGGCAGGCGATGGCAGTGCAGCAAAGGATTGTTGAATCCATCAGTGGGGAAATTAGAATGTTGCCTCTTTGTACGCGTGGTATTTCTCTGGTTTTCTCCGGCACAAAACCAAACAATCATGAAGGTTCTTGGCCAAACATCTCTCCTTAAAAAGAGCCCTGCGACTCGGTCAGTCTTTCCTGGGTAAATTAAGTGCATCATCGTTGCCATGTTGTTTTTAGTTTTTCCTCTCGGAAAACCAGGTGTGAATAGATGCACCGATAAAGTATCGAGAAGTAAGTAGGGTCTGCGACTCAACGAGTCGGTAACGCCAGCTACCGAGAGAAGATCCAAGGGCGGGACATTGATTTGGCCTCATCGTCGCTAAAGAGCTGACGTGAAACACAGATGGATGGCGACGCGAGATGAAGTCGCTCGAAATAATTCGCAGCAAGGAAGCTTCTCTGAGCGCAGTACCGATAGGTAACGTGACCTTTCCAGTTGACGTTACAGCTGCCCCAGGGCTACTGGGGGGGGGGGGGGGGGTAAAGAGTGGTTGGAGGGCTGCCACCCTGAACTCACAGCTACCCGCACCATCACCCCCCTCCGTGCCCCCCGATTCGTGTGAACTGCTCCAGACAATCGCGGCTGCGGGGCTGCCCGCTACCAAAGGGCACCCGCCTCACAAAAATGTCAGCGGGGTGCCCCGGGCGAGAGCAGTAGCTCCCCATTGTGGATGAGCGAGTGAGATCGTCGGAGAGATGCAAAGCGGCTTGCTGGCTGACCTTCTACTGCTGTGTGCTCGCTGGTCCTAGGCTGGATAAAGTAAAGGCAATGCATGGGTGAGGCGCACCCAAGCACCCACCCACCCCATCCAGCCCATCTACCCATGCGGCCCCATCCACCCATGCCACCCACAATCTTTTATTTTTGTTTAATATACTCAGCCACCAATCCACCCACCTACCCACCCGCCTGCCCGCCCCGTGCCAGTGATGGTCTCTTTTGACGATCATCGCTGCATGTCCTTGGGATGTAAAGAGAACGAAAGAAAAATACCAACGATCCTCATTGGATGAATTACACGTGTCCAAAGTGGTCAAGGTGAATATGAACTCGGTGCCGTCTCATCCTGCCTGCCCTTCACCACGTGTAGTTTTTTTTATTATTATCTCTGGCGTATGTCTCGAGGAGGCCGTTGTGGAAAAGTGCCATGGTTTTGTAGTCCGTGCATGATTTCCACGTCTCTGTTGGAGCTGCATGCCAACTGTAAAGATCTGTTGTCGGTAATCAGCACAGTGCGCTAGTTCGACCGAAGCGTTTGTATTAACTGTGCAAATGTCATGGAGAACATTGAAATGATACATGTGCTCGCCATTCCATTCGGTGTCACAATAAATCACCGCGGCCCCAATCCACTGCTCAGCAACTGTGCAAAGGCCAAATGTAAAAGTCTGACCGTCGAGACTGATGTTAAATAGAATAAATGTTCCCATTCTTTGTCAACACGCATTGCATTATTATTATTATTGTTCTGTATTCTCCACTAGATGAGCGGTATACATTATTTGGTGATGCTGCTTCTCTGTTAGCACAAATAACAACAAAAACCTCAACTTTCGTCAATAACACTGTGGCCTTAAAATTATTGTATTTATATATATAGATAATAGGTTATCTTTCGTTCAATCACCCTTCTTCGTAGCACATTCAATTGAAATGCCAGAAAGCTAGAATGGACAATAAGAGTTGTAGACTGCACTTCAGACACAGGGGCCTGATGACAATTACAATACCAATGTTTTCTTAATATTAGGCTTACATTAGCATAAATTTCGATTTAAAGCTTTCGTGACTGCAAGGATTCATCTTCTTTAGTTCTTTCGGTAAAGTCACGTAGAATGAGAATAAAATAATAAATTGATCAAATAAAATAACACGATAATATTCTCACGACGTTTCGGCCACAACACAAGCGGCCTTCATCAGGTGAAGGGACGAGACTGTCTGGAGGACAGCGCTGGAGTGAAAAAGCCACGCTCAGATCGCGAACTTTAAGCTGTGTGAGAAGAAACAAAGCGCCTTGACAAAGGAATTAGCATAGAATTTAGCATTGAAATGGCTGAGTGATTAGCTTGTGACTGGTCACAGAAATGCCTATGTTAAAGTTAAAGCATTAGCATGTTAATGTTACCTAATAGCGATTACATAAACGGTTTTTTTTGTTCAATCTTGCTAAAGTGTGTGCAATGGAGTGTCACTCCGTGTAATAATAAAGCAGACAGCGTTACTTAGCAAGAATATGAATTACTGCAGTCACGAAAGCTTTAAATCAAAATTCAAGATGGAACATGTTGTTTGCATATAATGAATGTTTTAAATTTCACAATGAGATGGTCACTTTTTCATTGTACATCATGTGCTATGAAGAAGGACCATCGCTTGAAACGTCACCTTATTATATCCATTTTTTTCCCAGTGTTATTGACCGACTTATTGAGTTGTTGATATAAGTATGTGGTCAATTCCACATTCGTGGGAATTACTGCATCAGACCGAGAACTTGATAAAGTCACAAAATGAAGCATCACCAGGGCTGTTATAGTTGCTGATTGTGCGTACAAAACACGTCGATGACGAGTGGTGAAATGCTGCACTGGTTCATCGATTAATATTAACTCTCTCTGCTCATAATACAAGAATAATATCGCTTGTGCAAATATCAATATTTATGCTATTCTGTCTATGTTGATGTCATGGGTTCACGTGATTCCTGCAGATGCTACGTTTACAGCAATGTAAAAATAACGCCGATTCCTCAAGGTGGCCGGGTAACTCAGAGGTCGGAGCAAGGCATCTGGATATGATAATGTGGTTCAGCTCTGAGAATAAACGATCCATCAGTTTGAATGATAATGGGACGAACGTTATTGTGTAGCGGGTCGGGTGGGAAAGTGCTGCCTCCTAATGTGTAGACCAGAGGTCACTCGAGGGGATCTCAGGAGTAGTTCTGTTATAGCCACTTCCCGTGGGCTGTTCCCTAACACGGTGGGGTGGGGGAGGAGGGGGTGTTGCACTTTTTTGTGAACGGTCGGAGTGAAATCTCTGTCTCATGAGTTTACACCGAGTGCACAATCAGGATAAAATTGTGGAGGGGGGGGGGGGAAGACCAGAACATGAAATAAAACCATCGACTCTTGAATCGACATGCTACCCTGAATCTCGACAGTTCATTCAACAGCGCTGCGGGTACACCTATATCGGTGCGAAAAATACAATAATAAAAAAGCCGCATCGTTCTTGGTGACCTGTTAGAGCGGAATCGCCACGGTAAGTCACCCGCTCTCGTTGGCCACACGTGGCACACACCGCTGTATCAGCGGCGGCTTGGAGGCATGTGGGCTTTCAATGTGATTGTGCATGTCAAGCATGGGTGTGGAGAGCGGCCGAGCGTTCACTCACCTCGGCTATTGCTTTGGGCTTTTGCAGAACGCACAGCTGTAAGGCTGGGGACGAACCAATTCAGGGTGCACGTTAATACACAGAGCTCTGTTCATTACAATTTTGTGATGCTGCATTGGCAGCAGCGGTTAAAACTACAAAATTCACAAAAAAACTCAACACATTTGTTAATAACACTGCCCCTAAGGGGACATATTTTTACGTTGTATGTAATAGGCAACGTTTCCATCAATGGCTCTTCCTCATGGCGGAGAGAGATCAACGTCTCTGCTTTTTGACTAATACGTCGAGCTTGTTGCATTAAATGTGGCACGATGCGCTACCCACATACTCCGCCTTGGTCGTGCAAAAACCCACAGGACCCATTGCTAAGTGCAAATTGGCGATTGGCAACATACGCTATCGCTCGCAATAATTGCCCGTGGCCTTCGCCTGCGTTCTGTCGGCCACATTCCACGGGAGGTGAACTGCTCTGGTCACCGACGACGACCGGGGCGTGGTACCCGCGTGGAACTTTCCGCCTCGCCGTGCCCTCCGAGTGAAAGCGATCGAGACCTCCGGCGGCTGTCATGTGTTTTTTTCTTCCTGGCCCCAGATTCAACGACTTCATCATTTATATCATTCTGCTCATAAGCGTAGGCTTGACAATGTTTACAACAACAACAACAACAAAAAACTATCAACTCACTAAGTCTAGTGCTAGGGGTTGGCAAAACCAAAATAACAAGAAGAGACGGTTTTTTTTTTCTTTCGAATTCGGTACAAAGCTCAAAAATTTCAAGTGCCTGCAATGCACGTGAATACATGCACACACACACGTGACGCGACGAAGCAGTAACGTCAAGAGACGCATGCCTACGACACACTGGGATCGCACAGTTGCTGCACAGTTATCTCCCTTGAGAGACATACATTTCCTAATCTGCAGAAATATGACCACTGCTCCCCCGATTGAGCAACTTCTGTGAAGTTGACGGATAGCGGTCACATGACTACCTGAGGTTTTGGTGGGGGGGTGGGGGGGAGGTCAATCTTCGTTGCGTGTGCGATGCGGCGGCGCGCTTTTACCTCCATCGAACAGCGCGAGCACAGCGAGCACCAGGAATGGCGCCGTCTTGCTGACGAAGGCGTACATCAGACTGCCAAAGGGCGGTCCCACTGCAAACGCACGAAGAGTCGCTGTCGTCATTGGCGAAATGCCGAGCGCTGCGCAGCCTGTCCGTCGTCTGCTTGTGGAACGACGATGGGTGCGCATCGATTCATCGGAAGCAAAAAATATATATTTTTTAAAGGCCCACAATGCAACACGTCGAATATTTTGAGTCACAACTGATGTTTATTTTTTTTATTTAAAGCTTTCGTGACCGCAGCCATTCATATTCTTGGTTCTGTCGGTAACGTCACGTTGAACGGAAACAATAAAATAATAAAAAATATATATAAAACAATAAAATTCTCACGACGTTTCGACTGTAACACAAGCAGTCATCATCAGGTGTGAAAAACCAACGGCAAGAAGCATTTGAAAGAAGTGGCGGTTTGTATTTATTTATTTTCAAATGCTTCTTGCCGTTGGTTTTTCACACCTGATGATGACTGTTTGTGTTACAGTCGAAACGTCGTGAGACTTTTATTGTTTTATATATATATATTTTATTATTTTATTGTTTCCCTTCAACGTGACTTTACCGAAAGAACCAAGAATATGATGTTTATTTGTTTGTATCGTCAACATGCAGCGGCCATGGTCTATCCACTGCTGGTATAATGTCTCCGCATGCCTGTGGCCACCGCTCTCTGTGAGCTGATCTCATTGTGCCATCTCTACGGTGGTCGTCCTTTCATTTCCTCCTTTGGCTGCCATTCCATCACCAGCCTTGTCCAGCAATCATCACCATCATCATCATCATCGTCCCTTCTAAGCCCACAAACTTTTCTCGGCATTCGGTACGATGTCTCCGAGCGTGCTTGTGTCCCCCATTATCCATGTGCTCATCTTTCTTTCTCCCAGCCCTGTGCTTCCAATCGATGTTTCGTTTTCTAGCAGCACGTGATGTACGTACCGTATGTTGAGCTTCGTTAGCTCCATTACGTAGCCAACCGTGCTAATCGTGTGCACTGTGTTACTCCAGGCTGTGTGCTTGCGACTCCTTACCCAGCACCCCCAAGGCCAAACCACTCAGAGCGATGCCCATAGCATTGCCTCTCTCGTCGTCATCCGGATACACACTCGCCAGCAGACCCATGCCTGCAAAGACAAAGATCCCCTGTGAAGCCTACATCGACTGTCGTGGCAAGTGCTGTGAGTGAGCGCCTACGATGGCCGGCACGGCGCACGACAGGGAGTTGTGGCCAACAATGCACCCGGTCGGTTTTATTTCCCCGGTGCAGATGTTCACACACCACACCAGAAAATCAATTTAAGGCCGAGTCTCACCTAGGGGAGACCCAGGACCGGTTTTAATATCACTCGCCAGTGATGTTAGCTGTTGCCGGGATTGGAGTTCGGTTCGTCAGGTTCACTGAACAGTGCACTAGCCGCTGCACCGCCACTCCTCATACCATCCACCAAGGCTGAATTCCATCAGGATTTGTCCAGGCTGGTGATCCGGAAAATATATCCACAACAGGCACACCACATCCAGTATACTCCGCTCACTATGGCCGTGGCTACTAGTCACGGGCCGCCTCCAATCTCTTTGCGACAACAAGTTGCAAAGCTGCACCCAGAGCAGAGTGGTCACCATTGTTATTTTGTTACTGACAATTTGTAGACTTAACACTGACCAAGAATCGGATTTACACTTGCCATTTTGCTTGTCACACGATCCAATTAAATGTTGCCTTGCTCCACAGCCAGTCTGCCAGGAAGCCAGAACTACAATTTAACCACGGTATGATTGCTGGTATAGGTTTTTTTCAATTGCGCCTGCCGTGTTCTAAACTTAAATTGTCATTATTATTTCGTGATTTTAATAATGCATCTTATTAAATCAATGCAATTGTCATTACATGTACATTTCCAGGTTTTGATCATTTGCCACCGATGGCTAATATTGTAAAAATACCTAATGGTGAAATATTTTTTTTAAATATTGTGCATCCCATTGAATTACAGCTACATTCTGGTTTCATAGAATTTTAATTTGTAATTTATTTAAAAAAAATTCAGATCTGACCAATGTACTCATAGCACATTCAGTCATGTCCTGCAATGCATTTCCATTCGTTGTAAGAACGACTATGCCGTCAGAAAAAACAAATAGCAGGAAATTGTCTTAACAACTTAACAAAAAAGGCCCCAAAGTTTGCCTCAAGCTAGGTGTGAGAGAGAGAGAGATAAAAACTAAAACAAATATTACGTGCAGCAAGTTCTGTAAATAAATAAATATATCGGCTGCTTGGACACCACTGGAAAACCCATCAGAGTATATATATACCACCTGAGGCAATTAGTTATTGAAGGCTGGCTGGGATCATGAATTAACAGTGAAAGAAAGCATGTGGTTGGAACCGTTGGGCCAGCGTTATATAGACAAACAAAGACAAAGATCCCCCATATAGCCTTAACAGACTGTTGGGGCAAGTGATGTTTGTGAGCACCTATGAAGGCCGGCACGACACATGAGTGGGTGTGGGTGGCCAGAACCACGTCCGGCCGCCTTTGTCTCCCCGGTGGCGATTTGAACACGTAACATCAGGTACTCATTTGAGGCTCAGTCGACCTCTAGGAGGCCCATGACCGGTTCAGATAATCGTCCCTGGTGTTGGCCGTGAGCGAGAACCGAACCCCGGTTTGCCGGGTTCATCGCAGAACGCGCTAATCGCTGCACCACCACTCCTCACAGACACACACATATAGTGACAAAGACAAATATCCCCCAGTATAGCCTTAACAGACTGTTGGGGCAAGTGCTGTAAGCGAGCACCTATGAAGGTCGGCACAGCACACGGGGGGTAGGGTGTGTGGCCAACACCCGGTCGCCTTTGTCTCCCTAGTGGCGATGTTTACACATCGCACTAGGCACCCAAAAATTTAGGCTGAGTCGACCTAGGGGAGGCCCAGGACCGGTTCAGATAATCGTTACTGGTGTTGGCTTTGAGCCGAAATCGAACACACAGACGCGAGCCGGACCGTTGATTTATTTTTTGTTTTTACACACCGGCCACAGAGGAGCACGAAGAGCCAATGCCTTGCAGAGACCTGGCAAACACCAGCAGCCCGTAGCTCTCGGCGAACGCAAACACTGGGGGAACGACAGAGAAGGCAGGCGGCGGCGGCGACCGCCAAGTTAACGTGACCAGCGAACGACACGCGGCGCTTGTCCAGAGGTGTTCGCCGAATGCACAAAGGGGTCGTCGACGAGCAGCGGCTGCAGTCTCGAGATGCGTTTAAAACGTGTCTCGAGATGCGTTTAAGACGCGTCTCGAGATGTGTTTAAGGCCGCGTCTCGAGATGCGTTTAAGGCCGCGCCTTGAGATTCGCTCGGGCGTCTCGACGACGTTGCGCAGATCCTCACCGTCGCTTTGGATAATTGCCTCCTGTGACCCCCCCCACCCCATGCCTGTTTTTCCAATTGTGATGTCACAAGGGTGGACCGTGGGCCGCCACGCTGCCGCCAGCGAGCTGAGCGAGGCGTCGCAAAGACAAACACAGCTGTTTACACCGGATAGGCCGCACACGTGGACAAGGGGGGGTTGGGGCAGGCAACAAATAAAAGCCTCCTAAGTACTGGGTTTCAGCCGATGGTTAAGTGCCTCAATTGAACACAATTTAATTACTGTGCCCTCCTCAACAATAATTATAATGCAGGCCAATTACGTCCGTGCATTTTAAGAAATTAAATTGTATCCTACCGGCTGCACACTGCTATGAGACTTATCCAATTGCAAAAAAAAATTAAGATCATAATCTACACAGAATGTATTTATCGAGCTAAGATTTAAATGTAATTATTATTTCTAATGACATTTGTAGTGCTTTTCGGCATGACCTAGTTTATATGAGATGAATACATATCATTGCATTATTTCCTGCATTTAACGCCAATTGAATTCCCTCTGAATTTAGTTTTCAAAGGCGCTTTATATTTATTGGTCCTCTTCCAAGTCGCGTGGGTAGCTTGGACGAGTAGAACATGTACCCTCTACAGTCGAGGGGCTCTCTGGAGTTCCCTCTATGGCGCCGCGGAGGCGACATGTGAACGATCTCGCGCCTGGTATCTAGGAGGTAGTGGCTTTGATCGAGACCCTGACGCCTGCTGCTGTATATTTGGAGTTTGCGTCTCTCTCTCTCTCCCCGTCGTCGCGTGGATTTTTCTCTGCGTCCTCCACATTTATAATCAACATCACGCGTTTAGAGTATTTGGCTGCTGTAAATTTCCACGTGATAAGCCACTTCGTTGAGCTATCATTTGTGGCCAGGTCGCTTCTGCAAAATAGCTAAATAGCTCAGTGGGCCTTACCTGGTAAAATGAAATAGTTAAATAGCTCTTCCGCCTACAGTGGTGTGAACAACTCATTGCAGGGCTGCACCTTTACCTATTATAGGTTATATTTATTTCAAATAGCACTTTTATCATGAATATTTAATATCTATTTCCTCTCTCACAGAGGCAGCGCTTATCAATGGCCCGACTTCCAGATTCACTGTCTTGCAGTCTACTTCTCCATTTCAGTCTCACTACTTCACGAACCAAAGGTCTTGTAATTGTTTTTAAGGCTCATAGGAAAATAGTTTTTCTAAAAATGTGTATCCGTGGCCATTGCTATTCATATAAAACGTATGCATCGTGCATTTAACACAGGGGAATCGTCAACCTACGGACACATGACACGTACAACACGTTATACTCATTGTGGACTCCTCTGCAATTGGGATACGTTGGAGAGCTGACGAGTAGAATGCCCGGCGGATGCAGTCGCATTTAGACGTCATATCATTCCAAATCATTGCAATTGTGATCATGTAGAGGGGCAACCCCCGCGATTGTTCGCTCGAAGCACCGCTGGCGGATGGGTCTCCACTCGAGGGAAGCTCTAGCGAGCCCCTCTACGGGGGTGTTCTTTGTTCTAAATGTCCACGTTGGCCAGCCCTCTTGGAATACACGTCGCACTGAGCTTGCCCTTCAAATACGAAGCTTATTAAGGTTGCAATCTCTGCTGTTATTCGCAAACACATGTCACAGTGCCGCATTGTGCTGTACTACCAAACGTTTGCTGTCGCGCAGTTGGCAAAAATGTCGGCAGTGATATGAAGAATTACGTGATCGTATCGACACACGCGATTTCCGAAGATGTGATGATCTTATCCGTGCAATGTAAAAAAGGAGGAGAAACGATAACTTACTTATTGTAGATATGAACATGATGATGAACCCAGCAAAGAGAGGTATCTGGTAACCAACCCTGCAACAACACAAAAACCATCATCATCATCCACAGTAGCAGCCATCATCAATCCACTGATGGACGAATGCTTTTGTAACAAAAAAACGCATTATGACCAAGCAACTTAGAATCTTCTGGAATGATGACCCTATATGAATGCATTGCTGCCATTTGAAATCATGTTTGCAACGCAGCCGAGGACAGTTCCACAAATTGGGCAACCTCAGAACGAGCGATGTCATGTTTTTAGCGATACCGTGTGTTTAGCGATGTTGCAAGGAATGAAACGTGGGGGCCGGACTGTCCGCCTCTCTCCCCGCACCCTCTCCCCATTTGCATCGCGGTGCCTGGACCCCGGCGCAGTCGCACCACCTGCACACTCGATAGCGACGCCACGGTTCACAGCCACGAACTCAACTCATCCTCGTAAGACGTATGGGCGGTCACTTTAAAGGCAGCTGCCTATTGTTTAAACGCAAATTATCCGGCTTCGTCTATGGACCGAGCCGCTGGTTCGGCGCGTACGCAAAACCCAGCCTGGGTGAAGAAGTCGATTCGCCCGAGTAAGTCCGGCACCGCGGCACCGGGTTTCGCTTTTCTCCATCATCGACAAGGGCGGCCACGTCGTAGTTTTACCTCCGGATTAAAGTCATGACTAGTCGAGATACTATACCCAGGACCTCGCAGAGAATGCCTTGACGACGTAAGAGATTGGAGCCAGAAAGATGTGGCACTTCTTCAGCACATTGGCACAAGACGGAAGAAAGTGGAAACAAATCACGATAAAGTGCAGTGGACACCTACGGGCTATCTGTCCATGGATTTTGATAATGACTATGCCCAGGTAATATGCCACTTTGTGACTACGCTAAGGACTAGCCATAGATTTAAAGTATCTGAAATGTACACCTGAAATCGTGCAACTGCACACCCCCCCCCCTCCACGAAACTTAACTTGAAAGAGAAAGACAACAAAGCGTTGGTTATAACCTCCGATTAGCACGGTTGGCTACGTGCGCTACGGAGGAAGTTCAACATACGTACGTAACATTTATGTTGTCTGTAAACGCTGAAACAAATGTTTGCTGCCCTAATTGCTCCATAAAGTGTCTGCAAGCGCCAGAGCGGGTTCACTGAGAGAGAAGTCCAATGAGAGATGGAAAAAAGTACCTTGATTTTGACGTCCAGCATTGTCGTAGCAAGTTGCAAGTTTATTGCGTTTAACCGGGTGAGAACTCAAAGAGACCAGGACGAGTCTCATTGCCAAGAGTGCCCTGGGGTGCGTTCGACCGCCAGGATGGGGACGATGATTGCTGCCGAGTGTAACATCCCCAACTGAGTGATCGGCGGTGCAATCTTCAAACACGCCAAGTTTTTGTTCGCCCTGGCGCCAGCACTCAACGGCCGACACTTGCGAATGTTGTCAGGGGGTCTTCAGCGGTCGGCGAGCGGTAATAACCGGGGCGGCCGCTGGATTCCAACCGTGAACCTCTGGCGTCGATCGCACCGCCTCAGGGCGACGCCACCCGCCCTGCCACCGGACGACGAAAGTGGAAATCTTTCTGGAGCCACGCCCAGGCGCTTTTTTTTCAGCTGGGAAACCAATTGATCGCCAGTGGCGCGGTATGAGGCCAGCCTTTGCGAAAATCTCTGCCTAGATCCTTAAAATTGCAGATCCAGCAAAAAAGACAGCGTGGCCTCTCCATGTCTCACAGACGCCGGACTGAACTTAACCACTGCAGTGTACAAACAGAATCCGTCTAGCGACCTCAGACACCATCAAATGCCTTTTAAAACACAAAATACACGGTAATGATAATCTGCATTCATATTGCACCATTATTCTAAAGACTCCAAGTTGCTTGCTGCTCACGAGTTTTAGCTGAACTCCACTTCCAAAACACATCGTCTAGCATCACGAGTGGAAATAAGGAGGCTGATTGCCTTCAAATATTTTATCGCTGTATCAAAAGATGAATGAAAATGATTCGCTTCCAATATCTGACAACATTCTGGGTGACTTGTTCACAGACCTATGGATACAATGGTACGCTAATCACCTCCAAACTAATTTCTAGGAGCAATTAGAGACTTGCATTTATCTCGTTTGAGGTCTTTCAATGCAATAAATGAGAGTGACAAAAGATGATGACGATGACGAAGACGATAACGCCGATGAGCCGTCGAGTCCGCCGTCCGCTGGTGAACCAGGCGAGTAACCCCACCGGTTGGTGAGCGGGCCGATGAACGGGTTGGCCACGAGCTGCACGGTGGCCTTGGACGCGAAGAGCAGGCCCACGCGCACGTTCTCATTCGACAGGTCTACGTTTGAGCCCTCCTCGCATTCGCTTGGCCCCTCGGTCCCGTTCGCGACCTCCGACCTCGTCCCGCCGGGGGTCGGGAGTTCGTGAGCCCCCGACGCTGGGAGCGAAGCCGTTTGCATGCGCTGACTTTGGACGGGATGGGTAGGTCGCGATGCGAGCCCTGGAGTCGGAGATGGCGGGACCTGCGTGGCGTTGTGGTTTTCGATGGAGTAGAGGTAGCTGGGGATGATTGGCACTGCGGGTGCAAATGGGCGGTTGGGGTGTAGGGCACAGATAGGTTTCCAACGTCAATAATAGCACTTAAACAAGGGCACCTAATGAATTATAGGAACGTAGAGTTATCTTGTCAAGTCACTGCTGGATGAAAGCCTCCCCGTGGCATATTTTTTGCGTTTGTTTGACCATACTTCACCACCCTGGTCAGTACAGGTTGGGTGAATGAGATATCCTAAGATCGATTCCAGATATTGCTCGCCACTGATGTTAGCTGTGGCCGGGAATCAAACTCATGTGGCTTGATTCGTAGCACAGCGCGCTTACAACAGCACCACTGCTTCAACATGACCTGTACTGATCTCAATCTTTATTTAAAGCTTTCGTGACTGCAGAAATGCAAACTCTTTGGGTTTTTCGGTAAAGTACTGATCTAGGCCAGAGTAGACAATATAATTAGACCTCAGGTGAGCTCATGAGTAAAACGTTAGTTATCCTTTCCTCCACAGAATGGGCACTGTGGTGGAGAGATGTTAACTATCTTGCCTGGTATACAGGAGGTTGTGGGTTCGATCCGACCCTGACGCCTGCTGTAAATTTGGAATTGACATTTTCTCCTCGTGCATGCGTGGATTTTTCTCCAGGTCCTCCGATTTTTCCCTTCACATTTAGAATCCACATGCGTTTAGAGTATTTGGCTGCTGTAAATTTCCACGTGATAAGTCACTTCGTTGGGCTATCATTTGTGGCCAGGTCGCTTCTGAAAAAGAGCTGTATAGCTGGTAAAATACATTTTTTTTATAGTTTAGTTCAAGTTGCCCTGAATTAATGTGGTGGTGGTGAAAGAGTTTGAGCCCCCACTCCTTCTGCCCTGCTGGGCCAATGAGGGAGGACAGATGAAATGATCTCCACAGGGAAGAGACTCTTATCCTGCACTGATGGTGGTAGTGGCAGTAGTGGTGGCAGTCGTGGTAGGGGTGGTGGTGGTGGCAGTAGTGGGGACAGTGGTGGTGGTAATGGGAGTAGTGGTGAAGGTAGTTGTGGTGATGGTAGTCGTGGTGATGGTAGTGGTGGTAGTGGCAGTAGTAGTGGTGGGAGTAGTGGTGATGGTAGTGGTGGTAGTGGCAGTAGTGGTGAAAGTAGTCGTGGTGGCGGTAGTGGTGGTATTAGCGGTAGTGGTGGTAGTGGCGGTAGTGGTGGTAGTGGCAGTAGTGGTGGTAATGGGAGTAGTGGTGGTGGGAGTAGTGGTGAAGGTAGTGGTGGTGGCGGTAGTGGTGGTAATGGGAGTAGTGGTGAAGGTAGTGGTGGCAGTAGTGGTGGTGGGAGTAGTGGTGAAGGTAGTGGTGGTGGCGGTAGTGGTGGTATTAGCGGTAGTGGTGGTAGTGGCGGTAGTGGTGGTAGTGGCGGTAGTGGTGGTAGTGGCGGTAGTGGTGGTAATGGGAGTAGTGGTGAAGGTAGTGGTGGCAGTAGTGGTGGTGGGAGTAGTGGTGAAGGTAGTGGTGGTGGCGGTAGTGGTGGTAATGGGAGTAGTGGTGAAGGTAGTGGTGGCAGTAGTGGTGGTAATGGGAGTAGTGGTGAAGGTAGTGGTGGTGGCGGTAGTGGTGGTAATGGGAGTAGTGGTGAAGGTAGTGGTGGCAGTAGTGGTGGTAATGGGAGTAGTGGTGAAGGTAGTGGTGGTGGCGGTAGTGGCGGTGGAGTTGGCAATCGCGGCGCTGGCACCCACCCACCACCGTGAGCAGCATGTTGTCCAGGAGGAGCGCCACGAACACGATGACGAGGATGAGCTTCCTCGAGCGATGGCTGTCGCGCAGCTCGCTGAACCAGCCGCGGATTGCGCCCATGGCCACGGCACGAGCAGGGTTCCCGCTGCGCCCTCCTGCACGCCCCCCACGTGCGCTAGCGGTGCGCTAGCGGTGCGCTAGCGGTGCACGGCGATGCCGGCGGGGCGGGGCAGGAGTCGCGCAGAGCGGCGGGCTGGATCCTCGCCGGCGCTCGTGAGCGTGACGCAAGGAATGTGGCTGGGGATTTAAAAAAAAACAATTATTGTTAATCCACTTTTGTTTTAATTGTCAACTAGTTAATGAAGGCTGTCTTCGCCACGCAAAAAGTTTTCAATGAATATAATAATGAAGCTGATGTGATTTTTTACAAAAATGATTTTATCTATGATCAGACAAAAACAACTACTCCTTCATCATGGGACCTCCTTTGCCAGTACTAAAATATGAGAATAGGTTTTCCCCTTTTTTCTGGCAACGAAACAGGTATTAAAACACCAAACTGAAACCTTTTACAAGGAATCATGTCTGCATTAACCACAATACTTGTGGTCAGAATGCAAACAAAAAAATACTGATAATATGATGCATTGTCCTTGAAACTGATTGGTCCACACCAGAGACAGCTTTCTTTTGAGCCTAGTCTCAAATGGTGTTAGACCAGAGGACGCCAAAAGGCGTATTTTACATATTATTATTTTATTAAATTTATTGTATCCCATGGAGATGGAGCAACGGAATCGGTTCGTGCTATTGTATATGTTGTGTTCATTAAAATTAATGAAACATGAATAAAATAAAACAAGTCATTTTATTTATTTAAACTGTGTCAAAAATATGTTAATGTTAACGTTCTTTAAGTGTAAATGTTATTACATGTGTTTAAGTGTAATTAAAGATGATTTTAAAAATATATGAAAAATATTTACGTGCATGTGATTACGATGCGATTAGCAAGTGATTTGTATTATTGTATCTCTCGTTGTCTAGGAGTATTTATTATAATTTATTATAAATTACATTTTTTTAAATAATTATAATTTAGTATAATTATCAATTGTGATATTTTCAATGATTCTTGCTTGAACATTTTACTGATTCTCGCTGGAACAATTAAGCGTGTAATCGTGTCAAGTCTCCGGATTCAGATCCCACCGCAAGATACAGTTATCTTAATTAAGACAATGATGCACCAGTTAGGAAAGAAGCACTCAGAACCTTCTTTAATCTACGTAACTTTAATATCAACTTACTCTAACATCCAAAACACTTATCATCAGAAACAACGACAGTACCCATGCAAATATACGGACTCATCAATCCATACTGGATAATCATAAAAGCATCGATGGTCAAATCTCACGACCCCGTGATTCAATAAAACAATAGGCCAATGTCTCATAGTAACGCGACGATACACAATTCATTTGTCACGGTGTGTGATGCGTGCAAGCTGAGATTCTCCTTGGCACACAGCCTGTACAAGGTACAGTTACAAATGATGAGTGGTTGTAAAGTTAATGTTCCATCTTCTATCTTCTTTCTTCTCGCAAAAACACCTCCAGTCCCGCAACGATGCTCTGGAACGACAGGCTCGATCCACAGCTGGAGTGCGCTCTCGGCTCTCGAGTCCGCACGTTGCCAGTCGACCGTTAGCCGCAGCGCTGCGTACCAGCAGGTTGCCTGCACGCCAGGCTCGATCTGCAGCTGGAGCATGCTGCGGCCACTGCTGGTCCGGCACGCTATCTGTCAGCCGTCGCCTGCCGCGCCACAACCTCGCATATCCCCCGCTGTGCAAGCAGCCTGGACGTCCACACTCACTCTCCAGGCCTCTCCACAACTCAAATAATACCGGTCACTGGCTCGACCATCAACTTTGCCGGCCTACAGCTTGGACAATATTTCGGTGCACACTCAGTGTTACTATTAAGCACGCCCCTCGTGCATTCGTACGGTCAATCTTAGTTCACCTTTTGTTCTGGCTCCCTGGATACCTCGTCGTCCATAAGCCATCTCAAGACTTATGTGGACACAGATTTTTGACCCGTAGAAGCTGACCCCCGGGTGTGTTGTGTGTGTGTGTGTCTATGGGGAGCGGTAGTGTAGCGGTTAGCGCACTCCGCCCCGAACCTGGCCACCCGGGTTCGATTCCCATTCACGGCCGAAACCAGTGACGATTATCTGAACCGGTCCAGGGCCTCCCCTAGGTCGACTCAGCCTCAAATGAGTACCTTGTATGATGTGTAAACATCGCCACTGGGGAGATAAAGGCGGCCGGGCGTGGTGTCGACCTTTATAGGTGCTCGCTAACAGTACTTGCCCCTACAGTCTGTTAAAGCTACACGGGGGACCTTTGCCTTTTTTTCGTCGTCTACGGCCCATTCTATGTTGGTCAAACGGCCTCCCTCCTTCCCCCTGCGGGTTGTCTCTTGTTGTCCCCTCTCCCATTGAGGCTGGTCAGCCGAGTTCCAATTCCCCCTTCAATGCAGCGGCCGATGTCTGCGCTGGCTATTAAGCAGCAGCAGCAGCGGCGGTGCGCTCCTTCGGCCTCCCTACGGCCTTGGTCGTCTCAAGGGAGGGGTGTCGCAGGCTGCGTCACTGCTTATAATCAGCCAAAGCCATCAGGCCAGTTGTTCAACTTGAATGCTAATTAGTTTGGCCTCTTGTTTTTTTTGTTTACGCTCAGGATGCACTCGATCCTCATGTGTGTCTACAAAAAAAAACCGATTACACTGAGAATAGGCAATTTCTCACTTAATATAAAAACTAATTTGGAAAAAAGGCAGAGAAACAACAGCGCGCAGATTTTCGATGGTTCGACACGTCACGAGGATGCGAGAGCTGGTGACAGCTTGGGGGGATGACTTCATGCAGCAGTAGATAGATCTTGTCTGATGATTATCATGATCCTGACTTCATTGTACCCACTGGACATGACGCGCTTTCAACAAAACGATCCACCGACTTCACACAATCGTGCTGCTTCCCACACGCCACACGCGTGTCTGTCGAACTTCGTTCACACCGTACGTAGCCAACCACGCTCATCGGAGGTGTGTGGGAAGGACTGCGTACTAAACACAACAATCAGTTCGAAAGAAATTCGTTTTCGATCTCGATTTTAATACGCACAGCTCCACCCGCCCGAACCCACACCACTGCCCGAGATGTACCCCAGACGCAATACAAACCTAACTTACATGCGTTTTTTTCATCATGCCAGGAACATCGCAATTTTTTGTATTTTACACGAAGATATCGGCCCTCTTTAATGAAACCTGCGGCACCAACCTCTCTCCATCAACTGAAACTACCCCCGTGTGGGCTTGAAAGCGGGACACCCTTTCAAAACACCAGCACGCTCTACTCCGAATTTTCAACATCATAGCCGTGGGGGGGGTGTGGGGTGGTGAAGTCCATCTTGCCTAACTTGACAAAGACCATGGAGACAACGGCGTTAGACGCTGCTGGCCCACGCGGGCACCCAACAACACCTGTGCCATGCACTCCATGGGGAAAGAAAGGGAGTTTGAGGCCAGGTCGTGGGTCCCACCACGCCCTTGCCAAGCCTCAAATGAGAGGAACGGTGGAGAGGTCCCTGGGACGTGAGCTGGGAGCGGGCAGGGGGTGGGGGTAGTGGGGGGGGGGCTTCCCCCCAATCCCCCACTTCTTATTTTTACTTTAGTCAGTTGAGAGAAGATTTATGTGTCGCCAACCAACACATCAAGCTTCGTGTATGGTATTACCTGCTATAATCACCCAGAAATGTCTGTCCGTCCGGCGCGTGACGTCACTCGACATGAGGCCCACCACCCCCCCCCGCGTGACGTCACTCCACATGAGGCCCACCCCCCTCATTAATATTCATGAGTGGGTGAATTTTTAGGTTAACGCAGAGGCAGGTCGACCTGAATTAAATCAATTATTACGCAAAGTCGCTTCAAATATGACGTTTCTTTACAGAAAGTGACGGTAATAAATAAGTATATGCAACAAAAGAGCCCCCCCCCCTTCATTAATATTCATGCCCCCGTGGAAACTTACACTAACACACAAGAAGGTCGCGCACTCCACATGTAGCACCCCTCCGCTCATTAATAATCATGAGCGTGTAACGTCACTTCACATGACGCACCCCTCCACAATAACCATTAGCGAGTGACGTCACTCCACATGGGGCACCCCCCTCCTCTTTAATAATCATGAGCTGAACAATTTTTCTATTGAATATTTCAGATTTACTGCAATATACATTCGTCCTTTGACGGGCAAAAAAGCTCGAGTATGATTCATAGGCTGTCCCTTTGCTCCCCCCACCCCTCGCCACACCCTTCGATCTCCCCAGAGAATGCTGATTAATTATCTTCTAGATTTGAAGCTTTCGTGACTGCAAGGATCCATACGCTTTGGTTCTATTCGGTAAAGTCACGTAGGTAAAAAATAAAATAACAAAAATCACAACGTTTCGGCCACAACACAATTCTCCCCCAGCCCTCTTTCTGCCTCCCTCCCCTCCATCAACACAAACCCCAAACCCCCCGCCTGTCGGATAGAACCGCCTCATGGTGGGGACACCGAGCTACTGCTTCCTCACATCGAGACACGTTCAAGCACCTAGACAATGTTCAAGCACCGAGACAATGTTCAAGCACCGAGACAATGTTCAAGTACCTGGACAATGTTCAAGCACCTAGACAATGTTCAAGCATCTCGACATGTTCAAGCATCTCGACATGTTCAAACACCTAGACAATGTTCAAGTACCTGGACAATGTTCAAGCGCCGAGACAATGTTTAAGTACCTGGACAATGTTCAAGCACCTAGACAATGTTCAAGCATCTCGGCATGTTCAAGCATCTCGACATGTTCAAACACCTAGACAATGTTCAAGTACCTGGACAATGTTCAAGCGACGAGACAATGTTCAAGCATCTCGACATGTTCAAGCATCTCGACATGTTCAAGCACCTAGACAATGTTCAAGTTCCTGAACAATGTTCAAGCACCTAGACATGTGCAATCACCTAGACATGTTCAAGCACCTAGACATGTGCAATCACCTAGACATGTTTAAGCACCTGGACAATGTTCAAGCACCTAGGCATGTTCAAGCACCTAGACAATGTTCAAGTACCTGAACAATGTTCAAGCACCTAGACATGTGCAATCACCTAGACATGTCCAAGCACCTAGACATGTTCAAGCATGTAGACATGTTCAAGCATCTAGACATGTTCAA